GGAAAAGGGCATTAGGTACAAATGCCATCCACGTTCCACTCTTTTGAGTCCTTGGTAGTTTGTCAGGTTCACCAATCTTTCCTTTCATTCCCTGGCCTCTAAGAAAACAAAACAAAACTCTCTACTCCCCTCAAATAACCCTCCACCCCTCTTCTGTATTCTCCCTGTCTCCTCCAGGATCTTCCCTGCATAGCCAGTCTTTCATCCAGTTACCAGGTTCTTGCTTCTTTATTGGTATTTTCCACAACAAGTTAAAAAAATACAATACTTACTTTCAATCAAACAACCTCTCTAAGTATTGTGTTCTTGCTTTGCATTCTCCGTTAAACTTCTTGAATAATAAAAATGATTCTTTATATTAGTAGTCCTGTACAGTTGCTTTATACTCATTATGTCATTTAATTAAATCACCACTCTAATCCCAAGTAGTATTTATCTCCATTTCAGAGTTGAAGGAAGTAGAATTCAATAAGTAGCCATGGCTCCGCTGAGGTCAGTAATCAAACCCAAATCCACTGCCATTGAGTCAACTCTGAATCACAGGGCAAAATAGAACTGCTTCACAGGTTCCTAAGACTAAATCCTCATGAAAGCAGACAGCCCCATCTCTCCCCCGGGTCAGCTGGTGGCTTTGAATTGTTGATCTGGTTATTTAGCAGCCCCCAGCTTAGCCCACAGTGTCCCCAGGGGTCCTGTCGAGGTCAGTACCCACTGTCATTGAGTCAATGCTGACTCATAGTGACCCACACTGTGGGTTTCGGAGACTGTTAACTGTTCACGGGAGTAGAAAGCCCAGTCTGTCTCTCTCAGAGCTGCTGGTGGTTTCAAACTGTCGATCATGCTGATCTCAGTCCACCACATAACCATTACACCACCAGGGCTCTAGAGGCTACTAAAGTTAAGATCATCTTCCACTAGACTTGTGGTTCTCAGACGAGCATAATCCAGATACAGACAAGAAATGTGAATTCTCAGAGACCACCCCAGACCAACTGAATCAGAAACTCTAGGGGCGGAGCCAAGTAACCTGTTTTACCAAGCCCTCCATGGGATTTTGATGCATGTCCCAATCTAGGAATCCCTACACTAGACCAGAATGCTCTTTTGGTTCCTATTTAACGTCTTAGCTACACTTGACAACGTTAGGCATCATTTCCATTTGAAGCTTTCTTTTCTATCCTCTTCAAACTGCTGTCTCCTTGTTCTCCCGAAATTCTCTGATTCCTTATTCACAGTTTTTTCCTCTAGCCTTCTTTTTGAATAAACTTAGTAGTTCAAACATTTGGCTCTCTAGAAACTCCAAAACCTGTTTTCTCTGCTGTCCTGGAACTGTATTTACAATGACGTCATCCATACTCCCTAACGCAACTCACCCCTACACAAAATAAGCCCTACAGCCTTCTCATTGCATGTGCCCTCCCTTATAACTATAGGAGGTGCCGATGTGCCGCAATTCACCCCAATTTGCCGATACTAAGTGACGTTGCTCTGTTAGGCCGCACATCACTGGCTAACCAAGAGTCATTAGGAGTCTGGGTGGTGGGAAAGGTTAACAAGCTCAGAAACCTAGCCCACAGCCTGGAGGTTGGAGTCCACCCAGAGGCATCGTAGAAGGAAGGCCTGGAGACAGGCTTCTGAAAAATCAGCCACTGGAAAGGCTAATCTAATAACAACAACAACAAAACTCTATTGCCGCTGATTCAGATCGACAATGATTCCATACATGGATTCTGAGACTATCAATCTGTATGGGAGGCGATAGCTTCGTCTTTCTACTGAGCAGCTAGATAAGTGAGTGAACTTCTTTCAGAAGTCTATGCTAATATTGTTCGTTCTGCCTGAAAGCTGGAAGCCTGGTGGCAAAGTGGTTACGTGTTGGGCTCGGATCCCCAATGTTCACAGTTCAAAACCACCAGCCACTGACTTCACGGGAGAAAGAAGAGGTTGCTACTCCCATTAACCCTTACAGTGTTGGACACTTACAGGGGCAGTACTAACCTGTCCTAAGCGTCGCTATGAGTCAGCATTGAGTTGAAGGCAGTGAGTTGGGTTTTGGTTTTCTGCCTGAAATACTCATCTTTAACCATATTCTCATCATTTATTTAATAAACACAAGAAAGTGCCTGCTTATCACGTGTAACTCGAGGCAACATGCCTCATCTAAAGCAGCATCTTCAGGACTTGAAACCATTGCCATTCAAGTATTGCTTTTGAGAAAACTCAGAAATTGAGATTGCATGGGAAATTTCTCAATTTAAAAAGTTGCCAGTTAGATGATAAAACTCTAAGGCACTCTGCTGTGTATTATTGTGTCACAGCTAAGTGAAGTGCCTTGGTAGGATGTCAGATGGGACTTGGACCGAAGTTCTACTATGCCCTAGGGATTGAAAAGTGACTGACACGGGGCCTGTGCTATGCGTGGCTCACCTCTGAGGCTCAGGTCAAATGCTAGCACTGGTAGGCCTAGGCAGTCCCTTCACTCAACTTTCATCACATTTGGTTTACACAGTGTGTTAGTCTGGGTTGACTAGAGAAACAAATTCATAGATACTCACATGTGTGTAAGAGAGAACTTCATATCAAAAAGCAATTATATATTCAGAAAACATCCAAGCGCAGTCCAGATCAATCCATAAGTCTGATATTATCCCATCTGTCGATACTAGTCCATAAATTCCTCTTTAGACTCCCACAGCCATGCAAAGTCACCGAATGCAGGATGATCAAAGGCCAGTGGGTGGAATGTCTTGGGGATCCAGTGGCAGGGGAAGCATCTCAGTGCTGGCGTGGGTCTCCATGTGGCTCCTCCCACTCCAGGCCTCCGGCTCTATCAGCAGAACTCCATGTGTCTTGTCAATGGGAATGTCTCACAGGGAGTGAGTGTATCTGGCTTCCAGTGAGCTACTTATCTCCTTTGCACCTCCAAATGAGGTCATCAAGCTGTGGCTTGATTGACAGGCTAGACTCCACCCCTTCACAAGTTGACAGGAGATTATGTAACTGCCACACACGGCATCTGCTGGATTATATTACTTTAGCTAACTGACTAAACACTCCTTTGAATCAGTAGATCATGGAAGACCAAGGCTGTCATTTTCATCCTTGTATTGGCAGCACTAGTGTACAGCCTATCAGGTAGTAGATACTCAATTATATCTCTATCTATATTTAGATACGTATGTGTAGGTTTGTAAGTTGGTGTGTGTGTGTGTGTGTATATATACATATCTGTGTGTGTGTATACATTTAATGATTCAAACACATTGTTTATCTAACGCATTACAATTCTCTCAATGTAACATCACCCGTACCACTTCTGGCTTGTGTTTCATGTCTCTATTCTTTCTTTCCTAACCCTCTGATCTTTGTCTTTGGGTAAATGTTGATCCCAATGGCTACTGGTCCTAATGCGTACACATCTAATTCTTACTCTCATAAGCCTGCATATTTTTGAGCCAATTTTTAATTGGATTTCTAAGACCCTAATGAATCTAAGACAAGTGAATTAATGAGAGAACTTGTGTGCAGCTATCCAGTGACAGTAGAGCCATGTTGAAGCATCATTTGCTTGGAATAAGCCCATGTATGTAAAAACTGGAACCATGGTAGCAATAATTTTTTACTTTCCTTTGTAAATATAACATATATATAATATTGGGACATATATATCTACCAAGAGATCTATGCACATACCTATTATCGATCTACATATACATACATACATATATACCCACAATTCACACACATACATATTTTATGTCAACTTCATTCTAAAATTTAAAATGAATTGCTATATTTCCTGTCCTAATAGATGCTATGCTTTGATAGACACTCTCATGTAGCCTTGATTTCACTAAAAAGTTTATTTCCTAAAAAGCAAATCAAGATGTACTGATAGTCAGTTATACTTACCTTACGTTCTATAATCCTAAATATATATATGTATGCATATGTACATACACTTATTGTTATTGAGTTGATTCTGATTCATAGTAACCCTGTAGGACATAGTAGAATTGCTCCCTACAGTCTCTTAGGCTGTAAATCTTTATGTCACCAGACAGTCTCAACTTCCTCGTGAGGAAGGTCTGGTGGATTTGAACTGCTGACCTTGCAATTAGTATCCCAAAGCTTAACCCACTATGTTACAACTAGGGCTGTTAAATATACATAACTATGTTGTTGTTGTACCCCCACCCCCAACACACACACACACACACGTTTTCCTGGAAGATGGTGGTAACCTTGACTACTGAGAGTGGTAAATTTAAGAAATCGTCTTATTCTAGAAGGAAGTATTTCACTTTGGAAAATAAAGTGTGTTCATCTGCTCTGCTTGTTAATTTCAGGGTGCAAACTTTTTTCCATTTAACAAAAACATTTAAAAAGTCAGTTTTAAATTCTGCTACAGTTAATATAATTTCTAGTTAGGTTATCCAAGCACTCCCACAAAAGGAATTGAAGTCGGGCTTTGGGGGGATGTTAACCATTTTTCAGTGAACCCAAAGACTCTTATTTCACTGAGAACCACACTTGAGAGAGTGCTGGTTGGACATCACTTTCTATTTCGCTAGTCAACTAATCTAACTTCAAGATACAACCCAGGTCCAAATAGTTGATTGGCCCTATCCGGCTACCACCTCCCAGATTTATATACCTTCCAGCAAAAGAAATAGATTTGTCTAACTATGTGGATATATTTCCAAAAGGGAAAAGAGTCAATGTTTTGCCTTTCCTGATTGTATGAGTAAACTAGAATATAAATGTATTCTAGTATATCTGAATATATTTCAAAGATATGAATATATTTCAGAGTTAGATCCCCCAATCATTTTATTCCAAACTTGTTTTGCTTAGCCCACAATAATTTAATTTATAGCTCTTTGCAAAGTTATTATGTACAAAAATTCACCAGTATGTGGACACTTTATTGTTAACAATGAAAAAATACAGGTCCTGTGTTCCTTAGATACATTAGGTACAGAATTGATAAGCCTTACCTGCAGACTGTTGAAAATGACAAAGAGGACCAACATCCAGAAGTGTCTGTAGGCCATGTGAAGTCCTCCCCAGAGCCATGTCATGGAGATCAGGGCAAAGAGATATAAAACCAGAGGGATTTCTAGAAATTATAAAAACAAACATACACACAAAAATAATGTTTTGAGCCTCAGAATATTGCATAGTCACATTATTTATTTATTTGGCTTTTTGTAGCATTCTATGTGCTTAAGTGCCCATTCTGAAGAACAACCTTGGAAATTCCATTCTTGTGCCAGAGAAGAGAAAGCACAGTGCTGAGTCCACATTCTCTCTCTTTCCTAATGGGTTTGCTGGTGGGAAAGGGAGTTAGGATGGGGCGAGGAAGGCTAACTGTTCCTCTCCTACAGTACCACCTACTGGACTGTTGAGAAAATGCCTCTAACAACTATGAACTCCCTGCCCTCCGGTCAATGCTGGCTCATAGCAACCCCCTGTGGATTTCCAAGATTGTTCCTGTTTATGGTGGTATTGAACTGCCAACCATGGGATTGCAGCCCAATGGATAACCACTACACCACCTGGGCTCCTACAAACTATAGCTGTGAAATAATAAATCAATCTCAGTGGAAGAGTGGATGTCTTTAGTGTCCCACCAGAAAATGGTAGGCAGAAAGATGCTCATGGTGTCAGTATATCCTCACCCTGTATTCCATTATTTTAAATTTCATTTATTTTTGGTTTTGCTGTGTTGAAACACAGAACAAACATCTATTCAACAATTTCGACATAAACAAGTCAGTACTACTTATATCTTTTAAATTGTGCAACCATGTCACCTTCTATACCAAAGTGTTCTACCCCTATTAACATAAACCTACTACTCATTCAGCTTCCTGTCAAGCCTTTTGAGTTGCTGGTGCCAATTTCATCCTACATCGATTGCTCCTGAGAAGAGCACAATGCTCAAAGAAGACCTTCTTTACTGTGTAAGCCAGCCTCTTTGGTTAAATGAAGAATCAAGGAGATGTTTGGGTTTAAGGCTTAAAGATTATCACAAGACAATATCTCTGTATTCATCTTCTTTTCCTGCCTGAGCAGACACCAAGACTTATACCTAAGGTTAGTAGAGGAGATAAACTGACTAATTCACTCCTATCAACCCTGCACTTATTCTACCCATCATTTCCTCATGCAATTTGTGTCAGTAGTTTTCACAACAGATTCTTCAAGACCAAGGGATGACATAATCCTTCCAGTTTTTTCCCCCATTTGGAATTTTAACTGTAAAGTGACAAGTCATATAAGATTGAGAAATAAGAACAGATCTTAACAGCCACAAATAAAAGTTTCCAAACTATTTGAAAGGCCATGCCACTGACGACCTCAAAACAGACCTCAAAGTCCATATTTACCCACTGTCATCAATTCGCACCTAAAATTCACATGCACAGGATATTCACACCGTTAAATACAAAACCAGCCAACTGTGTGTTTTATTTTGTTCTGAAACAAACTTACAAAAAGTAGGGTAAAACATTAAAAATGATTTTATTCTAAACAGTTGAGTATTATCCACCTTATCCATCACCCCCCTCTGAATACCTTTTATATGTATTTCCTATAAGACATTCTCCCACATAAGCACAATACAACCATCAAACCAGAAAATTAAGAGTACTACATTACTACATGAATGGCTCAATGAAAGACTCGCAGTTCAAATCCCATCAGCTCTCCTAGGGAGAAAGATGATATTGTCTGGATGCAGTATAGCACTGATGAAACACACAACTTTCCTCTAGCTCTTTGGTGCTTCCTTCACCCCACTATCATGACCTCAATTCGACCTTACAAATCAGATTAGATCAGAGCATGCACACTGCTACAGATAAGAGCCCACAACACAGGGAATCCAGGATAGATAAAACCCTCGGGGCCAACAAGGATAGTAGAGATACCAGGAGGATTAGGGGAGGGTGGGGGGAGCAAGGGGGGACCAATCACAAGGATCAATCTAGAACCTCCTCCCAGGGGGAGGAGTGATGGAAAAGTGGGTGAGGGGCGACAGAGGACGATGTAAGATATGGAAAAAATAATCTATAATTTATCAAGGGTTTGTGAGGGAGGGTGGGCGGGGGAGGGCGGGGGAAGAAATGGAGAGCTGATATCAGGGGCTCAAGAGAGAAGAGACTGCTTGAAAATGATAATGGCAGCATATGTGTAAATGTGCTTGACACACTGGATGAATGTATGGATTGTGATAAGGGATGTAAGAGCCCCAATAAAAGCATTAAAAAACAAACAAACAAAATGTATAGTCTTAAAGCCCTATGGGGGTTGCTATGAATCAGGATTGAGTTGATGGCAATGAGTTATCTGTTTGTTTACATTACTACCACAGAGATTTCATCCAAGACCGGCTAATTACCCCAGTCATTTCCTTAGCAGCATTCGGATCCAGTTTAGAACCACTCCTTGCCCAGTACACTCATTTTACAATCTCCTCTAACCCCAAATGGCTTCTTTCTGTGTCCCTGACTTTCAAAATCCTGGCATTTTGAAGAAGATAAGCCAGTTTTTCGTGTAGAATGTACTTACATTTGAGTTTGTCTGAGGTCTCCTCATGAGACTGAGATGCTAAACTTTGGCGGAAGCATCCAGAAGGGATTCCCTACTCTCCTCATCGCATTCCTTTGAATGGCAGACTTTCAATTTGTCCCCTAACTGAAAGTCGTCTCACAGTGATCAGAGACCACCGAGTAGAAGTGTCCTTGTGGGTCTCCGGAAACTGTGAATCTTTAATGGACTAGAAAGTCTTACCTTTCTGTAGAGGAGCAGCTGGTGGTTTTGAACTGCTAACTTTGGGGGTTAGAAGCCCAACTAAGCCACAATACTGCCAGTGCTCCTTCTGAACTGCAATCGACTCGATGGCAGTGACTGTTTGTTTTGAGAGTGGACCCTTTGGTCACCTGAGAAGTGAAATGACTGCAGGGATTGTCTGCTGTAAAGTTCAACTTTTTATCTTTGTATCTTATGTGCTATTACTTTGGAACAACTGTAAATATCCTTTTCCTTATGAGACATTTGATATATTCATAGATTTTTTAAAATCTGGACTCATGGATTCCTATTTTATTGAATGGATTAAAATCCATTGCTGCTATTATTTGTTTTGACATCTAAATTGTTCTTGTTTTGTTAGCTGGAGTCCCTTCAAGGTAGCTTCTATTATTCCATCATTCTGTGTGTACATCTTTGTACACATCCTATTCAAACATCATACTTAGAGTTTGTTTGTATTTTCTCTGCCCCAGTTCTGGTTTCTTCTAGGGGAGAATCATATTTAGAAACCAAGATCTGGGTAACTAGGATGTGGTCATTGCCATTGAACTCTTGCTTCTCTTAGGCTCTACTCATAGAGTTAGAGAACAAGCGCATGCACACACATACAGAGAGAAAGAGAGAGAGAGAGAGAGAGAGAGAGAGTTCTCTGTCTCAATGCAGTGAAATTCCTTAGTTCCTACCAATACATCTAATTCCTATCCCATAACATAACGTTGACTCTAAGTTCCCCTTTTCCATTCTTATAACTCCCCCTTCTGTTCATGAGCTCATTTCTCATTATTCTCAGTGTCTTTGATCAGCTCCGCTGTATGTAACCAATCTGTCTTTGCCGTTATCCCCCCCAGCCCACTCAGCACTGCACACCTCACACCAGGCTGCCTGGCCCTCACCAGTCCCATGGCTGTCCTTTTCCCAATGATCTGGGTTCTTACACCCCCTGTATACCTTGTTCTTCATCAGCAAACAGCTTGAACCTTGAATTCAGGAAGGCAAGGCATATGAAAGAACCAGAAGAGATGGTAAAGAGAAAGGAGGAGATAGAGCAGTGGAAAGAGCAACTTAGCCATTTAAAAAAAGTTTTTTAGAGAAAAGGGACTGTGCTGATATATTTTTCAGATATGCTCTTTGTACGAAAACAAAAAAAAATTTTTCTGGGTTATTCTAATAACTACAATAGAGAAAATTAAAATAAAAAATAGAAGGGAAGGCTTATACAGATGAATACCTCTTTGGTCATTAATGCCTCTATTTCATTTTTATAAAAAATCATTGTTGGCTAATGAAATCATTCAACTTGGTAAATGGCCAGAACCTCATTTTTACTTTTGATGAAATATTCTGATCTTTAGGAAATGGCCTAAGCTCACAAAATTTTTCAAAGATTGGGTATGAAGTTTGGTGATTGTACTCTTTGCACTCACTGTGTAAGTACAAAATTATATTTGCAGATCTTACAGAGTACCAAAGGACATGCACATTTTGTATGAGCAACTAGGAACCAATCTTTCAGAATGGTGGCCTGCATGTTCCTCTAAGCATCTAGCACTAAGCACAACAAACGCAAGTGCTTACAGTTCACAAAGTCTAGTGGAGAAGCCAGGCGAACATACTAGGATTAGACTAGAGACACGTCTGGCCCATGCCTTTTTGGCACTGTGTGCAATAGCGTGGTAGCTTAGCACCCCAAATTACAACCTTTGCATAGAAGTAACCAGTCATGAATCACTCGGTATGCTGACTCTAGGCAACCACTGATAAAGACAAGATCTCAGAGAAAGAAATGTATCTAGAGGCACTGTGTTAGACTGGGTAGACTAGAAAAACAAAATTCATTAACACTCATATTTTACAAGAGTTTTATATAAAGGGTAATTGTATATTAAGCATCCCAACCCAGTTCACTCTAAGTTCATAAATCTGACATTAGCCCATATGTCCAACATCGATCTACAAAGTCCTCCTCAAACTCACAAAACACACTCAATGATGCTGAATGCAGGAGGAAAGCTGAATCAATGAGCATGTAAGCATCTCAGTGCTGGCAGAGGTCTCCATGTGGCTGCTCCAGCACCCAGGGCTGCATCAGGCCTGCTTCTTCTCAGGAGTGTCTCACAGGAAGTGAGCTTTGCCAGCTGAGGCAGAGAACTGGCTAAAGCAGCACAACTGGTCCGACCATAAGAGAGCAAGAGACGACAGGTGGGGCTCGCTGAGCCATTTATCTCTCTGCCCTTCAATTAATACCACATGTGTTCATCAGCCAGGTTGGCACAATAAACCTTAACTATCACAGGCACA